CAAAGTATTTGTGCTGCTGAGTCTTTATTCAGGAATGTGTTTACCAGTACCCAAGTTTATTCTCAAGGGCAACATTTAGTGAATAAGACTATACTGGCTGTAATTTTAAGTCTCACATGCATGTAAAGTCATTATGTTGTCAGTCCTTTCTGATACCAAAGTCTGCATGCTGTGCATTTAAGGGTTTAGGATGAAGAACTGAAAAACAATTTCTACATTTAGGCATTTGGAACCAAATAAGAGCTGGGCTTTGAGAAAAATCCAAAGAAACAAAACATTCTCATGAAAAAGCAGCCTTAGGTGCTATAAAATCACTGCCTTCCTGACAGAGATATTTGATTTTGAAACTCTACCTGCAGTTCTGATTCTTCCTTTGGCATCAGCATCCCCACTTCATTTGTGGTCTAATCACAGCCACACCATTTCATGACTTGTGCCAGGTGAGGGACATTGTAAGCAGCAAGGCAAGCTCTTGGATGCATTTAGATCACCTCTGCCATTTGGGGTTTTTGCCTGTCTTGCTGACAGAGAGACCCCTGTGTGGAGGCACCCAACAGCTTCTAATGTCACGAGGTTTCTGTTCTGAATTAATCACATATTGGCACCTGTCTCTGCTCCAGCCCAAAGAGAATCAGTGTCCATGCTGAAGGCTATGTGGGCCCTTAATAATCCCAGGTAAGTGTCAGTGATATTGGCAACACTGTTTGGTGTCCCATAGCCATGTTTTCCTCAGCCCAGAGCAATCTGGAATCCCACATTTTTTATCTCTTGTGGTATTAGACCCTGTTTCCCACTGAAATCTCATGTTCTTGTCGAGAGGTGGGGAACCAAGGCTGTGAGGAGAGCCAGCCAGAGCCACAGGGAACAATCCTTTCCCAGAGCTCCCGTGGGCACAGCATGGCAGCAGCAGCGTGCCATGCAGGGCAGTGTGGGGCACAGCATGGCAGCAGCAGTGTGCCATGCAGGGCAGTGTGGGGCACAGCATGGCAGCAGCAGTGTGCCATGCAGGGCAGTGTGAGGCACACACAGCACTCAGGGGTTCTCAGGTACCACAGGGGTGGGACTGCTCAGTGACCAGAGACAGGCAGCTCTGGGTGACTTCTGCCCTTCCACGTAAGGACTGTTCAGCTGGTAACAACAGCTGTACTGAGCCCATGGCTTTATCAGCACCAGCACTTCATTCCTGCTTTCATCCCTGTCCTCCCAGAGCTTGTCAGGAAGCCCAGGGTCCATTTTCCCCAGATGAGCCTCTTCTGACAGTGAACTTCCCTCCCTGTGTGTCTCTGCTTACACAACACACGCAGCTGCCCTGCTTCCCTCCTAAGGAGTGGGATGTCCTTTAAACTGATACAAGATTTGATCTACCGTGTTTATAGCGCATATTGGATGAACACTAAATTGCAGGAAGTTTTTACAAGTGGAAAACCTTGCTAAAACACATATTATTGAATGGACATCTTGCTGTGCTTGGATCAATGAAGCTTATACTGTGGCTTAGGTCTAATCTTACGACAATTCAGCAATTGAATCCACTTATGTTAGGCTACTGGCAATGTTGCAGGATGTATTTTGTATCTACTGATTAACTGTGTTCAGTTTGTGCTGAAAATGAAAAAGAAATCAATGAAAACACTTAGAAAACTAAAACAGAGAAAGACATGAACATATAAAGAAACCAAAAAGAAGAAACAGCCCTGTAAATTCTGTGTTAATGTTGAAGATTTCTCTGAATTAATATATTTTTCTTTGTATCCTGGAACGATTCCTAGGTGATCACACTGAAAATTTAATTTTTAAACATTTAGTGCTTAAACTCTTAAAATAACAGCAGCTCTGGACATGTGGTGACTTAATGTGGGACCACTGCAAGATGTCCACTGGAAAACCATTGACCAGCATACAGGACTGTGATGTCTAAAACATAGTGAAGAAATGTTTCAGACTGCTTTCCTGGATCATGCAAGCTGTGGGAATTGGCACAGGGATGGAGGTCTTTAAGACTTTTCTACACAGTTTGTAGAGGGAGTAAAAGAGGTGATGCTAATGCTTCTCTTTAGGAGGAAAAAACTTCTATTACATCTCATGCCTTATTAGATATTGGGAACTACACAGAGGCAATCTGAGCATACTCCACAGAAAACATTAGTTTGGTTTGCTCAGGGAGATCCTCGTTATTAATACGGATCTGAGAATTCAGTTCTCCCAGTCTAAGTGTTTTGGAAGTGATTTTCACCGTTGGATTAATCTCCAAATGGGAAAAAATGTAGACATAGCAGTCTAGGTTTTGATCTTGCAAAGCATTCCCAGGGTCTGTCATTTGGTTCTTGCTAAGTGGCTTCATGCAGCTAGGGATATATCTTAGCATATGTATTTAATGCTTTTGAAAGGTGCTTAGCTGACAGTCTCAGAGGATGACTCCTGGGCACATTCTGCCTTCAGTTATGTGCAAGCCACTTCTCTTGATATCAGTGAGATCTGCCTTTTGCTTATGAGAGATGTAGGCAACTCACATTTTCCTCCTGTTTCTCCCCTGCTACTCTGACATATTTGTCACCTTGAACCTTCCCTTTTTTAATTTTCACTTTTAATTCGTACATGATTCTTAAATCTTACGTGATCAATCAAAGTTTGCCTACTGGAAGTCAGTGCTGGAACTGCAGCTCTATGAATGCTTTCATAAATTTACTTCATCATTTTAATCCTCAGACAAGTCTCAGCATCCCTTGATGACTTCTATAATTCTCCCCCAAACACCTCTGCTGAATACATTATTGTGTATTTGTCTATGTTGCACCTTGATCTAATGCAGAGTTATCTCACATTGGATCTGTGTTCTGGTGTCTGTTTTTGTATGTGCATCTCTTCCACTGCTTTCCAAATGTGTCTGAATTGCTACGCTCCTGTTCAGAGATTACTGCTTCCCCTCTCATAGATCTAAATTTGCTTTTATTTCGTTGATTTTTGACAACTATTTTGGCCCACAGATCTAGCTTCTGTTTTATTCTGGTATCCAGTGGTGCTCACAGCACCATCCAGATTGGGTTTGGGCAAAAAAACCCCAAGTATCTTGAGTGGCAGACTATCATTTCTGTCAAAATTGCCAGGCCTTGGCTGTGGGACATCTCGATTTTGCTCACCCCAGAGCCACACTGACAGCTCCTTCAGGTGCCCCAGAAGAAGACAGGGCAGGCAGGATGTGGGGCAAGGCAGCAGCACCATCCTCCTGCTCCTCCCATGAAAGCAGAAGGTGCTGCTTTACTGTCTGCAAATTTCCTCTTGCTCCTCAGTAATTTGCTTCAGAAGACCAAGAATTAAACTTGTCAGTGCTTCTGAGAAACAAGGAGCTTTTTTTTTGATAAGATTGAAGCATTGTGTGCTCCACACTTTGCTTAATATTCTCCCTGCCACCTTCTGTTCCCATTGCTTAGGCTTTGTCATGATTTGAATCATCTGCTTTCTGAGAGTAATCAGATTAAAATATCAGTTTTCTATATCTAAGATTTCCTTTCCCGAAACAGAAAAAAAACTGCAAGATGAGGTGGTTCTTCAAAAAGTGCTATAGTAAAGTTGTGTATTTCAACTACATTGAAATTCACATTGTCTGTACTCTAAACATCACTTCCACAGATTATTTTACCATTACCATTAAAAAACAATACCAAGTTCTTCTTAGGCTGTACTGATTTTCTAACTTCTTTTCCATTTTAATTTAATTTAAAAGCTAAATAAATGTCCTAGTTTAAAGGACAGGTGCCTGCCAAGGAAGGCACCTCTGCCCTTCCGAAGAGAAAAGCTCCTGCTAAGAGGCTGCAGCCAACTGCAGCCCTTTCCCCCACTTGGCCACTTTTGTCTCTCTTAAGTACCAGTTGTTATCATCTCTTAGGCAACAAACAGGACAAAATTCCCTGAGAGAAGGAAGAACAACAAAAAAAGAAAAATACTAACCTTCAGCACCATAGCATTCCCACTGTTCAGTCTATTGCTTCTCTGACAGAAAATCATCTGCTGCAAGTGTTATATTTGTTACTTAACAGAACACAAATCAGAAAGAAATTTTTGGTTTTCAGAGTTATGCCCAAAGGTTAATAACTGCTGATTGTACTGCCAAATACTTTTCTCTGTGATGGTACTGTGAGCATGCAAGCAAGTCCCACTTTTCTGACTAGTGGAAAAAAAGAATCAGATAACCCCAAGTGAAAATCATACTAGATCTGAAAAGATGCTAATGTGCTAAGAAGCTGGTGAGGTCCTAGATGAGATGACAAAGGCTGCCATTTCCTAAGAAATAGATTCAGGTGAAGAAGATGAATTAGGTCATGTGGATAAAATGGAAAGTAAAGATCTGTCTCTTGTTTCCAATAAAGTGCTACAACAGGGTCTCCCAAGAGATTTCTGTTAGTCTGTATATTTTAGATTGCTGAAGTTTAGTGGTTTCAGCACAAATATAGTGAAATAACATAAACTCATGTCACAGCACATCCTCTTGCTTTGGTATCATCTGTCTGAAGACCTTAATGTTGACCAAGACATTGCGTCTCATTATTTGTAGTTTAGTTTAGGTTCATTTTTCATGGAGCTAATGGATCCTTTGAGGCTTGCAAACCTGAGTGAGCAGGACAGGTGAGGTCTGGCAAAGATCCATGATGTTGGTATAACTCAACAGCTTTCCTATAGTTTGATTTTGAATATCATAAAAGCCCAACTTTGATAATAGATTAGTGCATCATTACTTAGTGTAACATTGTACAAACTCTGACTAATGCATTTACATTTTATCAGTAAATGTAGCCACATATACACAAAACTCATACATTAAACAATGCTGACATGAACATGGCTATGTGTGTGTATATGCCTTCCCTTTGGTGCATAAAGAGTAATTTTTATTGTGTTTAACTGCAAAAGACACATTTTTATTAGCTGGTTATAAATTTTCTTAGCACAGGACTTCTCAATCCTCAAAGAAACAAAACCATTAGGCTCAAGAGCTGTCTCCTTACCCCTGCACATGGATTGAAGCTGGGGAATGGCTCAGCAGCATCCAGACAGGTACAGGCAGCCCAGGGTTCCCCTCCGTGGGCAAATTTATAACCAAAAAGCCAACACCTAAAAGATAAAAGGATAGCAGAAGGTTTCCTCTAGGGCTGCATCTAAACCCCAAACCACGTCTGTGGTGGGGTCTTCCTCTTCCATTGTCCAGGCAGCTGTTTTACACATCTGGAATTGTGTGAGGACATTTGATGTGGAGGGGCTGTACCGAGAGCTGGGCTGCAGCCTGGCTTCCTGCCCTGCTGGGGGCTGCCCTGCTGCAAAAGATTTTTACCCACATTGATCCTTCCTTGTGGACACAGGAGCTCTTGGGTGCAGACTGGAAAATACCCTTGCTCAGGCATCCTAAGATTATACAGGTCCCTGACTGCCCTGCTTTTTATCTCAAAGGTGATAGTTTTCAGAAATTGTCTGATAATCAAGAAACACTCCTGAATTTTTGGAATTAGGTTTAGGTGATTTTATGTAATTCTTGCCTTTCGACTATTGGTTTCAACTTTGCCTTTCATTCTTTCAAGTTGCCCTTTGTCATGTTCTAGTTCAGAAAACATTAAAAGTAACCTTTACCTAATGTTACAAGATATCAGGAGAGTTGTCTGCCTCAGTAATGGAAGTGTTTAATTTCAAGAGGGGGGCAAGTTATCATCTGACTAATACAAAGGGAAGGAATTATGTCTGGAGGCAAGGTCCCTGGACTGGGACTCAGGGACTGTGTTCCTAGCTCAACTTTGTGCACTTCTTTCTACTGTATTCTGTTTTAAGCTTTCTATATCTCATTTACTTAAGCTTTAAGTTCTTTAGAGTTGGGGCTTTACCATGTACCATGAAACTATGAGGTCCTGATTTTCACTTGGAATGTCTGGGTTCTCTAAGAAAAGAAAAATAAAGCTCACATCATTGGCTCAGTGCAGGAAACAGGCAAGTCACAGGGCTTCTGATGCAGGCTCACTCTTAAAGACACTCTGTTCATCATCTCAGCCTTTTACCACCGTTTGAAGTTGTTCTTTGTATGTTTTTGCACCAATAAAGTGTATGCTGAAATTTGCATCCCCTCCTAGAGGTGTTATTAGGTTTAACACATTACCATTTATAAGCACTTTTCCATGCCTGGATGAAAGCAGCAGTAGATACACAGTAATGCTCAGCATTAATGGACTATGGAGAGGGAAAGGAGACCTGCATACAGCCCCTCTGAGGGCAGCACAAGCCAAAGGACATCCCATCCCAGGGATGTGATGTGGGCAAAGCTGGTATCCCTTGAGCTGGATGAGACAAGAACATGGTGGTGGTGAAGGCACACCATGGTGGGGACTGTGAGAGCCAGGAACATCCCCTGAGTGTCCTTCCAAACACAGAATGCAATCCCACAGCTCCTGAACTTCTGCAGCAAGAAGTCTAAAGAGATTTAATTGCTCCAGTTTTAGAACTGGGTAATTGTAGCTGGTCAAAGTGTTTCAGCACTGCAGTAATTAACCATGTAGTGCACTGGTTCTCCTGACAGCCCTGATGTCGTGCTCTGAAAAATTGATTTCCTTCTTCTCTATTAATATGCATTTGCAGCAAAATCTACACCACTGACCTTATATCTTAATGATCACTTGGTTATAGGAAAAGATGCAAGTCAGAACCCCAGAGGTTAAATGTACAGCAAAAAATACCAGTTGGTCTGGGAATTAATTTCAGTTCCCCATGAGGGAGAAAAACCTTCATTGTCTCAGATGATTTTTAAATGCCAAGATCATCTATTTAGAAAACTCATTAAAAAGATTTTGTATATCCAAGATCCTAGTTTGGTCAGGTGAACCTTTTTTCTATTAAAAACCACATAAAGTAGACACTAAACATATGATATGAATTTATTCAAATTTCAGATTTCTAAAAATATTCTTGAGAGCACTATATAACTACAAATCCCTGTGAATAAATTACTAGTGTAAAATACGAGCCTAGATCCTTGAGGACTGGAAGATGGAGCAATGATCTTGGGTAGGTGTGGAGCTGTGATGTTTTTGAAAAACATGGCTTTGAGAAAACAAAAAGAAAGAGAGAAAGGCAGATCTCCTTAAGCTGCTTGGCTGCTTGGGATAAATCCTGCAGAAACCAGACATTTAAAAGATGCTTTTGGATTATGCTGTTTGGAGCCATGGCTGAGTTCAATTAGATTAAGTACTTGGAATCATCCAAGCCATTGTGAGGCACCTGACAAGTGTGTGTGGTCTGTGAGCCTCCAGAAGCATTTGGAAATCACAGAAAGATCAAGCTGGGCACTTTTTTGCTAATGGGATTCATTCATTCAGCAGTGTCATTTGTGTTTCATAAGAGAAAGAGACTGCTCTAAAGAAGGTGGCATATTAGATAAGTCAGAGTTTGAGCTGACCTTAGGGGTTTGTATCTTTCATAATATTATACTCTCATTTATTTTGTTTCAATTCATGTGAGTCAGTCTGCATAGGAAGAAATCTGCCACAGGAAAAAAAAAAAAAATTCTACAGCAGTTGTTAGGTCTTTTGCATAATTTAGAATCCCTTCAACAGCAGAACTGGGCCAATCCCAACCTTTTTGTTCTGGTTTGGGTCTCTAGAAGTTTGTCATGAAAAGGGCAGTTGTTCTTATTTCAGCAAATAACCCAAACCCACACTGAAACCCTCAGCCAGGGAAAGACCAGGCCCTGCATCCAGGGGAAGACACTTCTGATGGAGAGAACTGTTAATTTGGAAAAAGAGAATAGGAAATATCACTATATTCAGAGAACTGTTCTGCTCAGGAAAGATAATTTATTTAATTAAAGTGAATTGACTAACTTGAAGATGTCTGGAGGTACCTCTGGACAATACTAAGGTGAAGGACAAAATTTATAGTTCATAGGAAACATGGAAAATGATATCTTCTTTGATGATTGTCTAAAAGTATTTGATGTGAAACGTGTCTTAATGATTTTTTTCCCAAAATAATGATTACAAGGAGCTTCAGGAAATATTTAAGCCTAATTTACCTTTATTTCTGGTGTTTTAGGTTAATGAAAAGCATTTCCTAGGCATCTGCACATTGCCTTCTGTGTTTTTTCTTACCATGAATCTCATGACATAAAGCATAAGAATATTAAAAAATATATACATGCTGCAAGGTCAAAATGCACTTACAAGCAGGTGGAACACAGAACAACATGGCTACCTGCTCCAGCACTCTTCTCTGATGTCTGTGACATTAGCAGCAGGAAACAACTACAATTATTTGAGAAGCATTATCTGTGCTCTTTGTTTAAGAAAGGAAAAAAGCAGTGAAACATCCCAGTTAAGGTGCTGAATCACTGGAGAGCCACTTACCACCTCAACTCCTTCCTAGTGGAGACTTTGCTTGAAATACAGCACACTGCATAGTCTGTGCACTTTTCAAGGAACACCTCCAAAGATATCTGTAATGCAAAGGTATCTGCATGCATTGATATGGTAATCAAGTGTAAATGTCATAGTAGGTTACTTGAGATTATGTCTTTTACAACACAATTATATTCCCATTAAATTAATACAGGAATCTTGCATTAGCAAGTCACACTTGCTGGCAAATGCCTACTAAATGGTTGTCTGTTACAATGCAGAAAAACGCAAATTTTGACTGATGCTGAAGTACACGACTTCATTGCAATAGACAAACAATACTGATCCACTTCTCAGCCGTTTGTGGGTTCTTTTTTCCTTATCCAATTGCGGTGTTCACAACCAGGGTACCTGATACAGTGACCTGTATTTCAATATGTGCTTGGAAAAAACCCCAACCAACCCCCAGATATAATCACAGTGAGAATTGATAAGTTTTCATGTCTGAGGGGGGAATGTTCAAATTATTTATGTGTCTAATGCTATGCCCTCTTTATCTTCAGCACATGCCTGTAAGTTCCAAACTTAAGTAATTTCCTGACTTGGGATTTTGTGTTGCAAATTCAAAGGTGGCACAACTGATTGTCCTGTTTATAGCCTTGAGTATGTTGGCATGTTACAAGGTTCCTATATTAATGATTTGTTCCTTCCAGTTGATGTTGTAGAGCTCTGAGTATTTGGCAGTGAGCACACCACCTGTGCTGGGTTACTTTGATACCAAGAGATGGAATCCTTCTATTTTCTTGCTGCAGCAATGGAAATCTCTACTTGCAGCTTTCTGATCTGTCAGGAAAGATGGAGAAAACTCCAGAAGGAATTTGCCTTCTAAAAAATTCCACCCAGAAGCTGTGTCCTTTTTTCAGAACTCTCCAGGATAAATTAGTCATTTGTTTAAGCTGGGCTCTTTGATACACTGGGAGACATTGTCACTGTCTAAGTTGAAATGCTTCCATAAGAAATGCTGGATGCTGTCATCTTCCTCCAGTAACTGGAAAGAGGCTGCTGAAAGTCATGGAAGCCACAGCAAAATAAAAACAGTGTGATGGAAAGTTGGAGCCATTTCCTTGGCTGTGGTAGCTTACAATAACTTTCAAAAAGTCAATACTGCTACACTTAATTACTCTGAGTAAAAAATTTTGCTCCATATTTTCATCAGCCTTTCAGAGCAATAGAATCTTAGTCACCCACAGCACAGCCTTCATGGTGGCATGGACCAGAATTAACTCTGGCTATGGAACCAGCCCAGATCGATTGCTGAAGTAAAAAGCCTTGTTACTTACAAAGACAGACTTGCATTAAGTATGCACAAATCATAGGCTCAGACAGAAGAGTGTTTTCTGTAGCTATTGTCAAAGGCAATGAAACAAAGTATTTGTGTAGATTCAGTTCTCATCAGAGATATTAATGCATGCAAAATCTTTTTGGATTCCTTTCTACAACCACAAACCTTAGCTCAATCCTTAATCTCATGATTTGGCCTCAAACTTACAAAAAAAAAAAAAAAAAAAGCCAGTCATGTAGCTTTTGCAGCTGTCTGCAACATAATTCATAGTGGAAAATTCATTTCAGCTTGATTTATTGAGGGTGCTCACTTAAATCTTCTGTAGCACGATAGATTGCATCTCAGTAAAAGGGGCCAAACCAAATGGTATTTGGATGAAGTATAAAGCTTCAGACCCTGACCTGAGCACATTCCTAAGGCTCGATGACTTCATCATCCAGCCATTGCTAAATTAAAGATGAAGAGCGTAGGAAGCTGTGCGTAGCAGATGCAAACGTGTTTTATATAGAATATGCTAACTTTGACTATTTTTTGGTATTGTTTGCACACCCAAGGAACATAACATGAATTTGTACAGATTCTCTGTGGGTGTAGGAATGCACACTCATCTAATAAAGGAAACGATATATATGAAAATTCAATTTTCTTGGAATTTAACCAAATTCGAGTATGTGAAGTAGACAGTATTTTCACACACACACACACAAACACACACACACACACACACACACATATAGATATAATTTTTTTCTTCCAAGTACTAAAAATAATCCATCCTCATCATGAATACATTTTAAGAGATCCATTATATGAGCTCAATGGTACCTAAATGCATAGATAACATGAAAAGTTCTGTGGTGATGTTCTTGTAGGACAAAGACTGAAAGTTTGCAAAGCCCAAGCTGAATATGTTTATGAATAAAAGAAGTTTTAATGTCTGTTCTGGAACTGAAAAGAATTGGAAAAAAAAAATCTCCTGTATGCTCAGAAAGAGGTAAAATGGAAAGACAACTTGAAAGCTGCCTCATACAGCAAGTAACACTATCTGAGATCTGCATTTTAAGAGCATCTTCAGAAAGAATTAAGTCAAAACAAGGATTATCAATACGAAAATATAATCAGCAAGGATAGAATTCTATGGGCCTTTTCCCATGCTTAGACAAATAGAAATAAATGTGCAAGTAGGAGGCTGAGAGATGATTATGACAGTACATGGAATGATTATGCTTTTATTTCCACAGGTAATCAAATGGAGAAACAATGGAGTCAAACTCAAGATATCCTTGCATCTTTTTGCCCTTTGTCACTCCGAAGCGGAAATTAGAAATTTATAAGTGAAGAAAAATAAGGGTTCACAAGACATTCCTCCATCCCGTGTCAGAGCTGCCAATCTCTGCCTGTTTGTGTAGGGATTGTGAACAACCCGAACACAGACCTTGAGCATGGTTTAGATTTGTGAACAGACACAAACATCCTCCTCTCAAAGAAATTGGAACATATAAAGAATGGCTGCTAAAAGGGTAAAGCATATGTGCAAATGGTTATTCATGAAAAGCAACATTCAGTAGTGAAATAGAATTGTAGTTACCCTGGCAGTGAATGGCAGCTCTCATCTTTCTTCACATACTGCTTTTAACCCAATCTTATTTCAAGTGTCATTGTCAAAAATGCCCTGACCAACTGTTTCAAGGTGACACTGGAATGCTTGAGACATCTTTTCCACTTTTATTTTTTGAGTATACCTGTTAAATCATTCTTAACTGTTGCTAACAAAGAGTTGGTATTTTTTTCTATTTCTGTATGAAGGCCTAGCCTTCCTTTTTTTATACAAGCACATACACTTTCACTCATTGTATTTGACCTAAACCTTCTATTTTTAAAAAACTTTATTCATATATAAAATTTACTATATCAAGATATTATAAGTCAATAAAAGAAGCAGTTACATTATACTAAGCATGCAGCTATTTCAACCTGATTGATCTTGTTACAGCTTGTCATTCAATTTCCTAATTAAAAAGATGCAATTTTGTTTCTATAAGGCACCCAAGGAAAATGAAATTCTGAGCAAAAAATAAACCAACCCTCTTCTGGAACTTACAGAGAAACGTCTTATCACACTCCAATACAGAAGGTCATTGATATACTGCCCCTGACTAATTATAAAAATTTGAAAAACAGAATGTTTCTTACCTTCATTAATATTTTTCTTTACTATAGGGATAGAGGTCTGGGACTTGGACAAAACAAGAAAGGTCGCAATTAGAGCATCATTCTTTCACTCCTTTGAGAATCTACTGAAGACTTCAGAGAGAGAAGTTATTTAAGAATGTGCTTAAATATCCCTTGTCACTAAAGAACATCAGCACATCCTTCTCTTTGCTTGGAGATTTATTGTACTTGGCTGAATTGAGGAATCATTCTAAATTTAGAGATAGAGCACAATTTGTACTGTAAGATGGAAATATAAACACAAATTCCAACTTCCTCATGAAAAGGAATTTTAGGATTATTTGTTGACTTCATGTAGCAGGGATGAAAGAAGATTTTATACAATGGTGCTTTGCAGTGCAGATTGCTTCTTGAGCTTTTCTTTCCAAAGTCTGATATCTATGAAGACCCCACCTCTGTGGTGGTAAGTTCTAAAAAGCAGCTGTCAGGGTTCCTGTCAAAATGGTTTTGGGATCAGCATTTCAAGGAGCAAAGAATAAACTACAACTGTTTTGCTTAATCCAGACAAGCCCAGCAGTGTTCAGCAGGTGATGCCAAGGAGGTGTCATAGATGTTGTGGCCAGTTATATTGTTAAAGGTTATTACTTTCTGCATAATTTTATAATAATTTTACAGACATTAATGCAAGACATTAAATCAAGCATTGCAATTTAAGTGTTAAAATAAACTCAGAACTGTAAATGTTTACATGTGTTAATAATAATGTTGCCAACCCAGCACAAGGAAGTGTAACATCACCTGCCATATGAAATTCCCAATCTGAATAAAAGCCCTCAGAAATTGATGTCAGTAACTCTGTCTGCTGACATCAGTGAGCTTTCCAAACACCAAACCAAATGTGGGTCATTCTGAAAGCTGGTTTTGTCTGGTTTCTCCTGGAAAACTTCATTGTGGCACTTTTAATTTTTCCCCGAGTCAATTAAAAAATGAATGCAGGAGGAAGGACTTTTTTGCTGAGAGAAGTATCTTCTTGAGCTTAGATTATTATAGATTTAATGACTCATTTCATTAGCTGACACTGCTCCAAATGGCTTTTGTTAAGAAACTATCAATCACTGCTGGAAATTCAGCTTCAAGTATTTGCAAACAGTTAACAGCCAAGATGGATGACAGGAGATGGAGAGGAAGGACATGGCAGGAGATGCTATGGTGTTTTACAGCCTGTTGTCTGCAACTAGATGTCCATTGCTCAGCCCATTCCACAGGCTCTCTGCAGTGATTTCCTGCAGAGCACAAACCAAGGATGGGACCTTTGCCTTGGGGCTGCACCTACGAAGCTGTGAACTCTAACATCAGGCATTTTGTTCCAGCAAAGGGACACCTTGTCATCCACTGTCACTGAATGACATCCAATTCATCCTTGCCACTAGATGACAGCACCGCAACACACATCTAGGAAGGAACCTGTATTTTGCTATGGGTTAAGAATTCCTTGGGACGCAGGTTTCAGGAATTTTGGGACTAGCTCCATGGAGGCAAGAGGTGACATGGAATTTCTATGTCTTTGGACTTCTCCATCCTACACGAATGATGAGAAGGAACTTGCATGATGTCTGCGCTGCTGAGCAGGACAAAAGTCTCACCAGCCCTGGAACGCTCTACAGCTGGATGGTTTCCTGGTGTTTGTACAGGTAAAGCAGAAAGCAGGAGAACATGGAGGCCAGCAACCCTCAATGCCAAAACATGGCATGGCTACTAAATCCAAATGTCTAAGGAAGGTATTTGGTACAAGAAGAAATTAGGATCCTTTTGAGATCAGATGTCTTCTGATGTTTTAGTTTCACAAGACTTAGTGCTGATCTGGAAACTTCAGGAATAGAGTAGACCTTTACATATTGGGAGACTAGAGAACACTGCTACTGATGGATGCTTTGGGACGGAAAACACCAATAATTCTGTCATGATTTCATGTACACTTCTTGACACACTCAGGATTTCTGATTAAATACTATAGTCAGATGTTCTGATGAGAAATCAAAGATAACAAAAGGAAAAAAATCTATGAGTTCAGTTTCATGAGCATTAATTCTGGAGAGTTGGTACAAATGACAATCTTCCTTTTTACTCTTTTTCTTTACTCTAAGTTACATTTTTCTTCCAAAAAGAGAAAGAAGAGGGATACCACATAAACACGTCCCTGCTCCAAATTTCTATAATCCAGTCCACTTCTTGTGCTCAGTGCAGGGAGTGGAATACATGATCTATTGAGATCCTCTTCAATCCCAGTTTTCTTCCTTAAGCCATTGTAGTCTTTGAGTTTGAATTAATACAATATTTAGTTATATTAATTCTTCACCCCCTAAGAAGGAAGATCTAGGAGTAAGTCAATATTCCCATGCCACAAGACAGGGCTCTACACCAGACTCTAAGGAGAAGGGTGTCTCATGGTAGAATAATCTAGAAATAATTAACTGTTCCTTCAAAGAGGTCTTAGAATGGTCTCTCATATTTGTGCAAGTACTCTACCTTCATGATATTCTGAGATTGATCCCAGTGTCTTTCCTCTCCTTTGTCCTTTTCCATAAATTTCTGAACATAGGACTTTTTTTGCTTGGCAAAAAAAAAAGTGGTACATTCCTGTGAAAACTTTTGCTTTTGAAAACCCTGCTTTTCCAAGAAACAGTTCTGTTTCCAAATTTTTTCCAATCAATAGATGGGGAGAAGGTTTATGGTTTTCTGTGTGGAGAAGAAAAAAGAAAAGAGGAAAAATGGCAGATTTAATTTCAGTGTAACATTTTAAACCACCCCTCACCCCCTCAAAAAATAAAATCCTCTCCTGCTTATCTGTCCTTTCTTAAAGGTGCACAGGTCTAGTCCTGAATTATTAAAGTGCTTTCCTCCACATTTGGTCAGTCCCTGATAATTAGTGCTGTTGCACATGTGTAGGTATTCACCACATACTGGTGGTAACACGACAGGACAGCAATATATTAGCATTTTGTGACCAATTCTTTAACATGTTTACCATTTTTCTTATAATTCTGCTTTCTTTCAAAGGGTAAGGAGAAATTACAGCCCACTGAGAAAAGGAGGAGAGAGTAGTTGTGTGTGGGCAGAGAATAAGTGTATTACAGAATTTTGTGATTTTCTTTCATCTGTTTCTTTCTATTTGATAATAAAGCTGGTTGATACCATACAGAGAGTACTTTATCATTGGCAAAAAATGTGTAGGAGAAAAAACCCCAAGCCACCATTAATTGCTTATAAATATATGCTCTCAACACTAGCAATCAGCCTTCAGGATTTCTAACATCTAAATTCTGTTCAATTCCTTCATTTGAATACAATTATCAACTTGTATCTTTTCTAGCATGATTAAACACATCGCTTGCAGGTAGGTTATGATTAAATAGGGAAGATTTGCATTTTTTGAAGTACACAGTCTCTGTGTCTCTCTGTAGGTGTGTCTGTGCACATCCATGTCCCACTATAAACTTCCCTACGTGTGGATACAGACATGAATGTGTGTGTGAGTAAATAGGGGAGTGAGGAGCAGAAAAGAGGAACTACAGCTAAGTTCCATGGAATGATCTAGATGCTCAGGCCAGATTATTCAGTCTTCTGCACCCAGTTGCATCCAATGTGACATTCATAAGAATTCAGTACTGGTTTCTCAGGGAAGCTTAAGACCCAAGATGCTGAGCCTTTTTCATTCTTCCAACCACATAGCTTGAGGAGCTCAGCTGGAGGTTGTTATTTCTTTCCTAGAAGGCCTGTGTTTTAAAAGCAAGTAGGAAAAAAAAAGAAACTCTCTCAGCTTGCTGAAAGCTTTTTCTTTAGACAGTCATGCCTTGCATACATATGGTTGCACCTGCAAACACTATAGGAATATTTGTGCAGGCCTGTTGAAAAGCTGGCCATAAAAGTAATTTTCCCCAAAGCCATGGCTATAAAAAAAAATTTCCTTACCAAAATTTTACATGCTTTGAAATATGTTTTTATTTCCCTTACATATTATTTACTGTCATTCTGCCTCCCCCCTGCCCTACAGAGCACCAAGGCTGTGCTTGAGAGAGACACAAACATTCTCTCATGTTATGATCTGATGTTATAATGTGCTCTGATACCATAATAAATGAGAAAATCAGTGCCAGTAGCATAACATATCAGTATACAACAGGAAAAACTGCATGAGTGATGGCAGAAAGGGAAATATCTCGTGTCTGCTCAGTGGTAATTGGGAATAAGGTGGGCACTTCTGCTGCTCATGTGCCTGCCTATGGCAACTGAGTCTGAACTTCACTCTTGCATCACTTGGCTGGTTTAACACTAATACAACACCACTGGGGCATTAAGACCAACTGACATTGGTAAAAATGAGGGCAAAGTTAAGCCTCCTCTACCTGAATATCATCCAGTTGGTCTTCTTTTCCTCACAGTCTCTACCTTTTCTCTGCCTGTGGCAAATTAAGCAGGAGGCTTATTGTCCTTCTATGGCAGGGCATTTAATTTGTTGTTGCCGCTCATCTTGCAGTATCAGCTGTCAGTCAGCTTCCAGCTGATTAAATGTCAGGTATGGTCCTAGAGGGCCAAAACACAGAGAAAGGCCATGTTACCATTTGCACTTCCATCATGAGACTCAGGAGTTTATCATATTAATAAGATTATGGTAAGAAGAATGCTACCTAAGCGTGACAAATTCTAATGTGTTAGGATCCACACTGTTGGACAGTACAGCCTTTGTCTTCATTCATGGACTTGCTTTAGAGCACTGCTGAGAGACTCCACTGTACTCCTCAGCAGAGACACTTGCAATGTAAATAGCAGGACAGACAAAAGAGAGGAAAAAGCAGAATCTTCATTCTAGTCAGGCCTTCTGGGTCTCCATGATATTAAATGAACTGTCCAAGGCTGCACAAGTAGTCTGTGGCAGTGACAGTTTTCTGTATTTCATAGTAATTTGTAAATGTCTGTGCTACACAACCAACAAGTTTTCAAGTTGCCAAGATCTTTTGCCTCGAAATAAGGTCACGACTACTCAACTCTGAGGAAGTTTGATGCCTTTTACAGTAGTTATCACACCTGGGAAATATTGAGAAGTTTCATTTTCTGATTCATCTTCCTCACAGTTCTGCCTACGTGGACTGCAGCACAGTGGTGGGACACCAATTTACCCTTCATGCATTCTCCCTGGCTTTGCAACCTATTGTTGCAAATGGGATTCTGCATTTTTTCTTCTGGCCCTTGTGATTCTGATACTACTCAACAGGAGCCAATGATCCTTTGTAGAAAAAAAAAAATAACCTCATCTTTAACAGAACTTTTAAAAAGATAGGAAGACTGAGAAAGATTAAGAGTAGTTTTGAAAATTTATTTGGTAGACACAAAGCAAAAAAAAAATCAGAAAAGCTATGTATGCTTGAAACACTGCTGATTTCAGGAAAATTGTGACAAGTAAATTTGACCCATTTGCTTCTCTCTCATGTGAGGAGTAAAGGATACTCAAAATTACCAAATTCAGAAAGGACTAAAACAATCCCAGATAATTCAGATGAAAGGAGCTTAACCATACAGTTGACTAGGAAGTAGAAATTACTGTAGTTGGACAAGAAAAATCCAGAATTATTTTGGTACTTGCATGGACTACACTTAGAATGTTTGGGAATAGCATCCATAAGGTGCTAAAATTCTCTAATAAGCCAAATGTGTATTTGGGTATGTCGGAAAATCAGTTGAAAAGACTAAGAAAAGGTGGTTACACATATGGGGCAATGCTAGCATGACAGATGGTATTTGTTTTATTTATGTCTTCACAACTGTGTTTATGTTCTTTCAAGAAGCCTGTCTGTGGAGTCTTGCAGAGAGGTTGTACAGGCTCCTTCCTCAGGGAAGCTGTTGAGTGTGTTGAGACAGAAACAATTCCAGGCTTCATGGGGCCAGCAGAGGAGATACAGAATGAAGATGATGGCTGGAAGCTCATGCAAAGACACTGCAGAGATGAGGAGGGTGAAACGAGGCAAATCTCACAATAGATGTTCTCTCCCAAGGAACAAGAGAACAGAATTGGCTCAGTGATTTAGGAAGTCATGGAGTTAACTGGGAGCAACCAACTACCTGCAAGGACAGAGGGACATGGGATAGATACGTACAAAACATTGTCATGCAGTTCTGTCACCCCCACCTGTCTTAAATAGTATTTAATAAAAAAGTTTAATTTTCAGTTTTTCTTAAAGTAAATGTTGGCTTTTTTGAATTTAAAACCATTCTGTCTGCACTAGGTTGAAGGTTTAGGCACATCAGGTGTAGTGCTTGGTTGATTCACTGTCCTCACAACAGTCAAAATATAAAAAGCATTAGGACAACCTAATTTAATGCAAACATCTATTAAACATTTTCTGATTTCTTGGGAAAACAGAAAGTACTAGAAATTCTCAATGATAATGAATCCTTGAATTAAAATTTTGGTCTTTAAACCTTTCTTTCAAGTACAACAAATTGTATTTAGAAAAATATATACAGTAAGTTATATGTTTCAGGAAAAGACACACACTCCTAACAGAAATTTGGTTTTTTGCCAGACGTTGAGCTTTGGCTCAAATAAATTTTCTCTTAGAACATAGTTCCATCGACAGATAAGTTTCTGAGCAGATCACTAAGATATTGGTTTTTCTTTTCAGTTCTTCAGATAACTGCTTCGGGTGCTTTTGGTTAATGTAAAATAGAGCTCCTCTATGGTGGAAAGATTTTGGTTTTATTTTTCAAGCCATTCCCAGGAGAATGAGATCATTCAGATGTCAGTTCCTGTTAGGTAAACAGCACATCTTGGACCTTAGTGCAGAAGCCTCTCATTGCTACCACTGCATAGAGGATAATGCAAACAATTTATACTTTCCATTTATGTTAATAGTGGCTTATTAAAAATTCATCTGAACAACTGAAGCTGGTAGAATCCCCCATAACACTAAATAATTAATGTCTTCCACAAAGGTGACCTAGGCTCAGCATGCAATACATATTTTTTTGGCTTAGCACAGGAATTTCTTGTTCCCTACCAAAGGAAATAACCAGTGTCCCTATGCCAGTGCCAGGGAATAACTAGGTATCTTCCAAAGCTATATTATTGAATAAGACACTGCCAAATGTAGCTGATGGTAAATGCCAAGGAGGGAAAAAATTATTTTTTAATCTCTGTTCTCTTCTGACACTTTCCCCCCTCAGAACATTGCAGATGTCAGGGGCTGGCTCTCAGCTTCAAATCCCTTTGCACAAAATAGGGTGAGAAGCAGCAGTGGTGTTGCTACTACCTTCTATCTGGTGATCAAGGGTTAGAGCAGGAAGGATATGAAAAATACAAACTCAAATCTCATTTTAGTCAGCAGATTTCAAGACAGATCTTCATCTTTCTGTTTTCCTGAAGCTTGGTTGATTTTGAGAGTTCATGAGTTGATTTCAGTTTTGACTGCTATAATTTCTATTTAATTAATATACTTATTTCAGAAATGTAAAGTCAGTGGAGAAAGAGTCCCAGACTCCTTATTTACCACGTGAAAAGAGAGATTTGATTTGCAATGACTTTTAAAATCTCTCTCTAGTACAAATATATTGAATTTTCAATTAATATTTTTTTCTGTGCAGTGTGCTATGAGTTCAAGAGACAAGTATTCTCTCTTAGAATAATCAATAATTGGGTTTTGAGGACAACATGATGGAATTTGCAGGGTCGAGTCACTCAATAT